TTCGTTTGGTTTTTATTTTCAAACGTCCCTTATTTAAAAAAAAATAGTCCTCGAATATATATATATATATATATATATAGTATATGTATACAAATTTAAAGTGCACTGTAATGAAAGAAATTCAAAACGAAAATCAATAAATGCAATGTATGTTTGTCGATTCTAAGAAATTTCCATTTTAAAAAAGCGCACATATTAGAAGATCTAAAAATGGATGATAAAATTGTTAAAAATATATAATTTTTTATAAGTGCAAAAAAATAAAATAAAAAAATATTAGTGGCATTGATTCTTTCTCTTAACTCATAAAAAATGCGTTGGATGTTTATCTTTTAGAAAACATGCAGAAATTTCAGATAGGTTGTAGAAGTTTATTGCGAAAAATAAAGACTTTTTTTTTATTTTCTTAGAAAAACATGATTTTTTTAAACCTTTTTTTAAACTTTATTTTCCTGTCTGTCAGTTTATATTTGCCGAGAAGGAATGATAGAATTAACGATTTTGCTTATAGTATTCAGAAAACTTTTCTGTTCCTCTGGAATAGTACCCCAGCTAAAATTTGAACACTATACTGTTCCTCAGGGAGTTCTCAAAATACCGATTGCAAGATGAAAAGCAAGTGCGGTGTTAGTGTTAATCTTTTACTTTTATTAATTATTTTTAGTGAATGCATTGCTAAAAATAACTATTTTCAATATTTTTATTAATAAAGTCATGCAATTTACCTCTGATCTGTAAATTTTTAAATGTATATAATTTTGATTTCTCTGTCATTCTACTTTTAGATACATTATCAAAACTGATATAAAAAGGCAAGCATTTTATACATGTGGTTACACACAATTTTACAATGCTAAATTTGTAACAGTCAATTTGTAGCAGTCAACAGTTAATTCCTAAAAGTCGAGATTTTCCAGATTCATATTAAATATTTTTCTGTTCATTTTTAGCTATAAGAGAGTCTCAATGCTTATATATTATTTTCTATAGGTCTGTTATAAATTATCTCTAGGAATAACATTTAATACAACCCAAATTTTTTAATTGTTATGTTTTGCGTATAATTTCCCTTCCTAAGTTTCTCATAATT